TAGGACAAATCCTTACAGACTAATGGTTCTCAACCTTTTTGACCCTCTTTTTCCAAGACAATATTTAAAGGCCCTCATATCTAAGCTGACAAGTACTTCTGGTTGTAATAAAAACACAAACTCAAAACTATTATGTCATTTCAATATTTAGTGTTATTAACATTTTAATTAAGATCATGTTAAAATAAGTAAATCGTAAACAATTTTCTGACTTACTGGGAATTTGTTGAGGACCCTGGTTGAGAACCATTGCCTTGTACTATGCCTAATTAAATACTTTCAAAATAACATATTCTGGGCATTTTACCATAAACAATTGTTAGGTGTGCAAACCAACAAATTGTTTTATTGTGACTATAGAAATTGCCAGGAGGAAACAAGCGCTATTCATATCTTAGGGAGACAAGACATTGCCATTCTAGAGCACATTTTATCGGTCCCAAACATGCTAGCAGTGTGCTAAATCATGCTAGAGATATGCTAGCATTGTGCTAAATCATACAAGCAGTCCTAAGTCATGCTACCAGTGTGATGAATCCCGCTATACAACATGCTACTTATGACATAAAACATGCTAGCAGTGTGCTAAATCATGCTAGAGATATGCTAACATTGTGCTAAATCATACAAGCAGTCCTAGGTCATGCTAGCAGTGTGATAAATCACGCTATACAACATGCTACTGATGACATAAAACATGCTAGCAGTGTGTTAAATCATGCTATCATGCCCTATCATGCCATCTTTTTAAAAATTTTGGAAGTATTTTAAACTTTCAGGCTAGGCTTTCCCAAGTTAACATCAAAGTTTGTCTACAATTAAAATGTTTATCGCACAGAATATTCATTTTGATGTGAACAACCCATTTGATTTCTTGGCGTATTTAACAGCGCCAGTAAAACAGACAAATATTTGAATGGTTTGTCATACCCCATTCTCTGTCCAGTCAACGCACATTACTTTGTCTTCATGGGCAGCAAGATCATACAGTGGAGCTTTACAGCTGTAAAGAAGAAACCAGGACTGTTAGGGACAGACATGTGGGAACAGGATGGTGTTGGGTTATAATGTATCTGTAAGTCGCACACCTCCTTGTGTCCCACAGTTTGACCACATTATCTAGAGATCCGGACACCAGCTGATGCTCGTGAGATGGAGACCACCTGACTGCCATCACCCAACCGTTATGGGACGTTAGAGACAAGAGAACTAGAGAGCCGTCTGTACAAAACGAGAGATATGAGCAATGACGATAACTTAGTATGAAAGGGCATCATTATATGGGATCTCTGATAGTCACCTTTAGATCTTGGGTCCCATAGACGCACATGTCTGTCGGTGGTGCCCGAGGCCAGACGGCGACACAGTGGAGAGTACGAGATACAGTTGAAAACCTTACTGCCCGTCTGCAATGCAAGAACATCAGTCTGTAAACCCAACAGTCCTTAAAGGTAATGCGTGTATATTTTTCACTTCTTAAAATACATTCTCCTGACCCAACTTAATATGCAGAGACTAGTAGTAAGCAGAAAACACGGTGATCAGCCCAACAGATCAACAGTGGCTAAACCAATGGTGTACAACTTTCCGTTTGTCTGTCCAGTGGCAGAAGGGGAACATTTCAGAAACCAGTATGAAAACATTATTTATATTTTATGATTGGTGACACCAGTGGTGCAAAAACTACACACTTCACTTGTCTAGAAGCCCCACCCATTACAATAATTATAATAATTATTAATTTTTTTTTATAATAATTAGTAGTAGTATTATTATTCAAATTATTATTTATAAATAAGTAAAAAAGACTAAGTTATAAGTAAAAATGGAAAAAAAATGTATCAATAATAAGCATAAACTGTTGTTTATAATTATTATTTCTAAATAATTTATAAAATACATGTAACCTTTAATATGTTATTTATAAATTATTTAGAAACAACAACAACAATAATTACAATTATTATTATGATTTATAAATAGTTCATAAATAACATTTGATTATGCTCTCCTGTCCACATCTGTGACACAATGCAGACACTAGAGAACTGAAATATGTTCTTAGAGGGGAAAAAAATTTAATCACTTTCAAACAAAAACAAATGGATCTAATACTATATTTCTATGATGAACTGGTGTCACTCACTATTGTATTCTTCTGTCCACCAGTCTCTGCATCCCATAGACGGATGGTGTGATCCCATGATGCACTGCACAGCTCCTCAGCGTCCATCCAGAGCACAGAGGACACTGCCTCATTATGACCAGAGAAAGTCATGAGGGGAGTCTAGAGCAGAATAACAAGAATTTATAAAACTGCAAAGTGTTAATTAATAACAAGAGTCCTTGTGTCAAGAACATGCATAGATACCAACCCGCGTGAGCGCCATCTGCTCTGTTTTCTGTTTTTTGCGAGGCCTGTTGGGTTCCTCGATCTCATCCTCTTCCTCTGTTGGCACTGAGGACAACAATAATACAAGTCAGCTTTTTTCTAAAGAATTACTTGACAATTTCATTGCTTTCTTTTTTTGAAGGTGGATGTTTATCTTTTATCTTTCTGAATTAAACATCTCATTGAATGTTCTAAAGAAAACATACCTGCTGACCATATCTTAAGCATTTTGTCCCATGAGCCACTGCAAAACTGAAGAGAAAACAAAACATTAGACATACACACAGTATGTCTAGCAAACTAAATGCATGATGTTAACATTAGAAAAGACAAACAGACAGAAAGAGTAGCAAACACACAAACCTTCGTCCTAGTGGGGTCGACAGCAACTGTGTCTACACTTCCCGCGTGTCCACGGCAACAGTGTCGGGCCTTCACTTTGTTCCGTTCGGAATTCCACTCCCATAACATGATTGTTTGATCCAGAGATGCGGTCAGGAGCAGAGAGCTCAGACCATCTAGAAGCCACAGAACCACCAAACAGAAAAAGAACTGACAAATTCAGAAACCTCATGCATCATTAGCTCTCAGATTAACACTCATCAGATTCATACAAATTACATTAGGCATCTCATACTGAAAAGATTCTAACCTCTCTTCACCCAGGCTACATCCTTCACAACATCAGTGTGTCCAGCTACAGTCATCACTGCCTTCCCTTCCATAGACCAAATCCGTGCAGTCTTATCATAAGAGCCTGTGAGGATCCTGGGATTCGGGCAGAGGAAATAATTTTATATATCAGCCACAAAACTGTCCAAGCAAATTGATTGTGACTTTAGTTTAGTTTTGCATGAAACGCACCATTCAGAATCTGCCTCCACCGAGCTGATCCAGTCATCATGCATGATACACTCCTCTGGCTGCGGGGCTGTGAACTTCTCAACATATTCTATTTCCACCACTTCTTCCTGTAAACACACACATACAACACACTTGAGCATTTAACCAAACTGCAAATATATTTTTGCAAGTTGAACAGATTAACTGTTTCACTTTCATAGTAGTTTAACCATTAAACACAGCTTGAAAAGAGTTAAACAATTACCCCAATTCATATGGATTACTTTCACGGTGTCATTTTTTTTTACGATTTGAATCTGAATCTACAATCTGAAATAACAGTTTTTTTTTAACTGTAATACATTTTAAAATGTAATTTATTCCTGTTATGGCAAAGCTCAATTTTAGCAGCGATTACGTCAGTCTTCAGTGTTACATTATTGTTGTTCTGTTGTTCACATAAAGGTTGTTCTGCACGCTTAATAAACAAACTCCAGCTGGTCCAAAATGCAGCAGCTAGAGTTCTTACTAGAACCAGGAAGTATGACCATATCAGCCCGGTTCTGTCAACACTGCACTGGCTACCTATTAAACATTGTATAGATTTTAAAATCTTGCTTATTACTTATAAAGCCCTGAATGGTTTAGCACCTCAGTATTATTTTAATGTTTTTACACATTTTCCAGGATTTCTGATGAAGAGACCGTTCAAAAAAAAAACATTTGTTTGGAAATAGAAATCTTTTGTACAAATGTTGAGGCAATATTAAAAAAAAAAATTTCATTTGAGTTCCAAAGATAAACAGAAGTCTTACAGATTTGAACAACAAGGGGGTGAGTAAATGATGACATAATTAAAATTTTTGGTTTAACTAATCCTTTAAATTCAGTCTTAAATAGTCTGACTGAAACAATATGTTACTGTCAAGCAATCTGATTGGAGGTTGTAACTGTTGTGCGCATAATATGTCAATGAACAGACTGTAGGCTATAAGAGAGCAACCTCTGAGCAAAAACATTTCCTTTTAATAAGTAGCTAGTATTTTGAATATTAGACTAGACAGAACTTTTTTGTAAAGGTCTCAATGCATAGTTCAAAAAATTGTGCAAGTACAGAGGAACTTTGTTCTATTTTCCTGTTTTCTCTTCAAATATGTGATGTTTTGTCAGCCAGTAGCAGTTAAGCATATCAAACTTTGTTTTTTATATAGCCATGTCCTTCTAATTCCTGTTGTTGTGTTCTTGTATACATCACAGTTCCCAACGAACAGCAATATTTCATGTTTTTCGCACAACAACATCACATCTCTTTATCCAGATATCCTTGACAAGCATGTCCCAAGCAGTCTGATCAACACCCATCAAGCTGACAGCTGACATAGTAACTTTGCATTGTTTAGGTCACGTCGTCCCAGCAGCCCGAGGGGTCAAGGTTGCGTCTGCTGTGGGTCCGCAGCTGCGAGAGACCTCTCCACATTTCCCAAGACCCTCCGCTGTTGCCGACCTGTCTGGGGACACCATGCAACTCTCCTGAGTCCGCTCCCTTGGCAGTGAGCACCCGTGGGAGGCAGGGCGAGAGATAACGTACCGCTTGAAGATCCCCACATTACCTCACCAGATAAGGCAGAGGGAGGGGATGGAGCCGAGCGGGGTGGACATTGGGCCTTTGGGTGGAGGAGAGGGCCGAACCCCTTCAAGCATTTCGAAGGAAACGCTCAAATGCTGTCATTTACTCACTGGTTCGGTGGTCTCGGCGGTGGTTCTCATGGCAGAGCGAGCGCTGGAAGAGGATGTGGCACAGGAGAGGAGGGAGATGGGAGGAAAGAGTGTGCGGACGCAGAGATGGACACAACCATGCGTGAAACAGGCAACACATCGAGAGCCAAAGAAGTGGGTGAGTGAAGGAAGAAGTGGTTTGCGCTCAAAAGGATTTAAAATGTTCGGTTATAAAGAGTAACGAGAGATCATGAGTTGTGCATCAAAAGAGAATATCATGGCTTTTCACATATTGAAATGATTGTATGTTTTCAAAATTAGTCCCAAATTAGTTCAATTGAATGTTTTTTTTTTTATATTAATAACTATTATTCTAAAAAATATTAACAAATAATAAATATAAATTATAAATAATGTTAATAAATTTTAAAAAATCATTGTACAGCTATTAAATACTTACAACATTTGTAACTTTTCACTTGAGATTTTTGCTGTTAATATAATTTATAATAAAAAAGTTTGTATTACAATGAAAAAGGCAGAGTAGAAGCTTTTTCATTAGTGGTCTCTTTTGAACCTCATATAAAATATTTCTAAACCACTTTATATTAAGTATATTTAAATACCATTTACTAACATTTAAATGTATAATTTTATACACTAAAAAATAGTGTGGAAACAATTTTTTACTCTGGAATTGCTAGCAAATTTCACAAACAATTACAAATAAACAGAAAACACATTGAATTAAACATGAACTGAAATAGCATTTTCTTTTAAAATATACTCCATTAATCTTTGTTTGATTTATAACTTTGTGGGGGGTGTACTTTAAGTGTACAATGCACTTATTGTGTAGATAAAGGTATTTACATTGTACTTATATTTTTAAAACACATGCACATAATTACGGCTATAATTAAAGTAAATACATCTGTAATTACACTGTTGACTTAACCCATACCACTAAACCTGTCCCTAACCTACATATTCCACCGCAGGAGCAGCAAAAGTGTTTTGCAATCCCACATGAACACAATACATTGTACCTAACAATTCATCTTTTTTGGATAGCACTTCTTTTTACAGTCCTTTTCCACATGTACTATGTACTTATTAGCAATTACTATAACTGGGTAATAACTAGTCACTAAGCCTGAACCTACCCCTAAACCTAACCTTAACCCATGTAGCTACTTTATACCAGTGCTTTCTTGGGTAATTAATTACACTGTAATACTGTAAGTACATGTACTGTAAAATAAAGTGTAACCCTTTTTTGATACAACTAGCAGTTTGATACAACTAGTAATTGAAGATGCCTAATATAAAGTGGGACCCACCTCTAAAGGCTCACAAAACATAGTAAGAAGTTTTCCCTCATTCCTTTTTTATTGTGTTAGGTAAGGTCTGGACCGATAACTCCGTCCAGGGCATGTAAGACCCAAAACTCTCCTGAGAATGCAGCGAGAGAGAGGAGTCGTGTTCGGAACCTTAGACAAGCCTTCCACAGCCTGCAAGCTGCTTTACCCTCCGTCCCTCCAGACACAAAACTCTCCAAACTGGACGTCCTGGTCCTGGCCACTAACTATATCGCCCACCTGACTGAAACCCTGGACCAGGGTGGGATGTTGGGGGACCATACCATCCTGCAGAGAGCAGAGTACCTGCATCCTGTGAAGGTGAAAGTTGATTAATATTAGGCCAATATCTAATGGAGAACACTGTCAGAAATAAAATGTTAAATATAGATATATAGTGCTATACATCACAGTTTTACATCATTGCAACATTATTCTAGGTTTTTGTTAAGGATTCAATTATCTTGAGTATTTACATGGTGAAAGATCAAAGTGATGGACTTGTGTCTTCTTTACCAGAAATGGCCCATGCGTTCTCTTCTGTACTGTGGGAACATAGGAGAGCGACTGACAGGAGCACAGCTCAATCAGGAGGCATTGTGCCCAGGTGAAAGCAGACTAAAGGACTGAGAAGATATTGAGATACTCACCAATTGTTAGAAAACACTGATGCATCTGAGTACCTTTTCTGTAAATACGATCCATTTTTTAGTTGTCTTGACCACACAAATACTAGATATTTCCCCATCATTTTCCTTTGGATTAAACACTAGTATATAGTTGTGTTTATATATTATTCCACATTTATACTGTAGTCGGTTGTGAGAGAAAATATCGTCTGAAAATATTGTAAATATTATGCCACATTATGTACCTGTATTATAGAACCACAAAATGCATATGTGGGTCAAAATTATATATATATTTATATATATATATTAGGGCTGTCAGTTTGACCAGTTAACTTAATTAATTAGTTATGAAAAAATAACTCGACTAAAATATTTTAACTCAGTTAAGGCACTGGCCACGCCCCCAGACCTGTAGGGCAACAACTCCATAAATGCAGTTATGCCCCAAAATTCAAGATATTGAGGCAAAAAAAATGCCCGAGTATGAGGTTTTGTCTAATATTTATATCATAAAATAAGCAATATCACACGAGCGCTGTTTTTGTCACGAAGAACACGATTGCAAATGTGATTTTAAACAACAGTTCAGTAAATAAGAAGTTAATATTGCGTTATGTTTTAAACACAATATTGTGTGTTTTTGTTCAATTTTGCCAATGAAAATGTTACCTATGAAGTCACAGCAGAATTGTTGTGTGTCTGTGAGCAGCACAGTAGTGTTTAGTTTCTGAATGAATCCGCGTTTTAAACGAATCGTGTGAATCAATGATTCAAAGACCTATTCATAAAGTGAGTCTATTCATAAGTGGTCACATAAGTGGCCTATTCATTTGCATTCCAGAAATTCCTTAATGAAGTAAAATGATTGTTTTCGCAATTTGTTTGCTATTATTATTAAAAAGGTTTAATAAAAAGAATATTAGAAATTATAATAAGTACAAAAAAATACATTTCAAGAGAATATGCATGTTAAAAACATGTTGTAAAATTCATTATATTAAAAAAATACAAATATTTTGAAATTTAATATTATTTAGAATTTTAGGTAATACTTCAAGTAAATAATATAGGTCATGGTATATTTTGGCCCACATATGTTTTGTAGTTATAGTTGTAGAATTAACTTTTAATCTAGAATATTCCTTCATGCTCTTTTAGAGCATAACTAAATTAACAGGTCACTTTATCTCTGCTGACTGTCTGTATCTTGAGTGTCTGGGTTTAATATGCATGTTTTGCACTTGATAGTAATAAAATGAATGTCTTGATTAGTGGGAAGGGAGGATTGTTATAGGGAACACTTGGCAACCACACAGGAGTGGAGAACCCCCATGTCCTCTCAATCATAGGTAGCTTAGCAGAGCCACACTAAAAACAGCTTTTCTTATTTATTTAACTGCACAAATCCCAAATCACTCAAAATTATTAGAGGCAATAAAAACTAATACAAGAATAATTTCCCTTGAAACACAAAACCTTGGCTTTACGAATGAGGGTGTACTGCCATATTTGGTGCCATATTAGCATTCAACATGCACGTCTGTAAGATACTTTAACTTTTTTTCTGTTGAGCATGAAAATTAGTGACATGGTCTTAATTCTTGCAAAGCACACGATTCGCACACTTGACTGAAATGATGTTTCTCATTATTGAAAAAAATTCCTTTAGGACCATCTTTAATACCGTTTAACACATGCATGAATAGTTCAGTCCCAAATGAGAAAAACATCATGGTTTGGTACAAGAATAAAATGATTGTTTTATCAAAATAATGTGTTTTGAGAGACTTCATTGCTGTAGAAGATAGCAGAAAATGAGGGACTTCACCACTTTCATCAGTCATGTTGGATTTATGTTGTTATAAATAAACACAATTACATGTAGAGTCATTGCTAAAGGTCAAAGGTCATCATCTATGTCAATCATTTAACAAAGCCAAAGCCTGACCTAACAATCACATGGATATAAATGAGCGTGGAATTTATAAGGAACTTATTTCTCAGCACTTGAGATCTAGATTTTGTATTTTACTTGCATTATACTTTGACATCATCTATGTCAATCATTTAACAAAGCCAAAGCCTGACCTAACAATCATATGGATATAAATGAGCGTGGAATTTATAAGGAACTTATTTCTCAGCACTTGAGATCTAGATTTTGTATTTTACTTGCATTATACTTTGCTACTTGCATCAGGTATTTTACTAAATAAATGCCCTTTCTAGAAAGACACCGGTTCAAACATATCAACCACCATAAACGTGGCTAAACGTGTGTTGTGTTTGTGTAGTGAGCATCACGACCATCCTCTGTTATTCATATCCAGATCTCTAGAGCTTTGCAAAACATGGGCTCCCATCCATAAGAAATGGTCAAGGCTAACTCCATAAATCTGTCTACGTTCCTGATAAAACCTTTTTCTCATGTTAATAGCCAAAATGGACCAGAGAGAACTGCGCTACTAAGGCAAGGGTTACGAAGCCAGAGAACGAGGGCAGACATTTCTTTCTGCCACCGCAACTCATTCTCACCATTTAAGGAGTGCTCTCACCAAGTAACGTTAAGCTGAAGATGAATGGATCTGGTTTTAATGATGAATACTGTTATTAATTGAGGAAATTCTGGGATCTATGGAGTAAACATGTCAACACTCACAAAATAAAGGCTCCAAGTGTCAGCCTGACACAATATTAGCACCTATATAAGTTGCATAAACAAACATACTCTAATTACTTTTTTTGTAGTGAGCATCACGACCATCCTCTGTTATTCATATCCAGATCTCTAGAGCTTTGCAAAACATGGGCTCCCATCCATAAGAAATGGTCAAGGCTAACTCCATAAATCTGTCTACGTTCCTGATAAAACCTTTTTCTCATGTTAATAGCCAAAATGGACCAGAGAGAACTGCGCTACTAAGGCAAGGGTTACGAAGCCAGAGAACGAGGGCAGACGTTTCTTTCTGCCACCGCAACTCATTCTCACCATTTAAGGAGTGCTCTCACCAAGTAACGTTAAGCTGAAGATGAATGGATCTGGTTTTAATGATGAATACTGTTATTAATTGAGGAAATTCTGGGATCTATGGAGTAAACATGTCAACACTCACAAAATAAAGGCTCCAAGTGTCAGCCTGACACAATATTAGCACCTATATAAGTTGCATAAACAAACATACTCTAATTACTTTTTTTTATTTTTATAAATCATCTATGTACTCAGTCTCCCATTTATAATGATTTATAATGAAACATCAAAAACTTATTTTAATATCTAAAGAACTATATAAATCTGTATTCTCAATCAGGGTCCGTTGCACACTAGGAGGCCTCAAGATGACTTAAAAAAGATTTTAAAAGTTTAATATAACACATAAAAAAGTTTGTGTAACTAAATGTGCTGCCTATCTTGGCCAGGACCCTCTTGTAAATGATTTTTTAATTTCCTGGTTAAATAAAGGTAAATAAATAATAAAAAATAAGTCAAAACAAACTTTTAAAAAATCTAGTTTCCGATTTTAATTCACCCCTTTTTTTATTTAAGTTTGGTTACTAGATGTGGAAGTCATGTAAATTTAAAAAATCTTGTAATTCCAGACATTTTTATAACAAATATACAATTTCTATACCAAAATACGTTAGTTCTTAATTCTAGTTACGCCAAGTTCTAAAACATTTCGTAGGTAGTTTATAAAAAAAAAAAAAGTTAAATATTGTTGTGGACAATGAGGGGCATTTGGAATCAAGAAGACTGAGAATCACTGATATAGATTGTTAACACGCAATTAATACGTTTCTTTGCTGAATCAATATATAATTTAAGAGTGTAGATGACTGAGACCACCAGAAGCAAAATACTCGTTTAAATGAACGCTGGCTCTTTTCCAATAATTTCAGCCATTGCATTTGCTAGTGAAAAACAAACTGAATGTGGTGCAACATTTTTGCATTTCATGCTCCAATGCAAACTGATAATCAAATTCTATGCCTTCTTGCCTACAAATATTAAAAACGAGCTGCTTTCTCCTTAAGAACTGATTTACTGTATCTTGGCTCAGAGGCCCGGTGATATCCAGATTCTGTCACTTCCTCTCATGTTAGAGAGATAATCAAAATAGCTGCTCTATGTCCTGCTCATTAGACCTAGTACATGCTGATGGCTGGCTAAATTTATGCTGTATTTTGGCCAAGTTTCTTGACTTGGCCTGATCTTACTGGAACAAGGATAGAGGAGGAACCAGAGAGGAATGTAAAACACAGACACACACACACACAAAGTACTCCATCCAAAATTTGGCTAAATGTCCTCACGGTCCCGAGTTTCATCTGCGCTACATTTGCAAGCAGCATCTTGTTTCCGTTTAGGGATAGAGATCATCTGGAACAAAGTGCTTTGGATTTGAATCTAAAAGCTTTTAATTAAAAAATCTTAAGTGCTGCAGATTTGGGCAAGCATCACCGTGACTGAAGTTCAATGACCAATATCTTACTAAACTACAAATCAATGTTACACTTTGTATAATGCATTAACCATGTAAGAACGCAAAACAAGAAAGTCAATGAGCCAACTAGAAACAGTATTTAATAATCCTGAGACACAAATGACCCAGTTTTACATCACAAAACATACTCCTCAGATATTTCTTTTATAATGTGATCCCATCCTCACTTTAAACTAAAAACATTCACTTATAGAAGACTAACTGAACTGTATGATCCAGTACAACTCAACACACAGGAGGAGCATCAAATTATATCAATCTTGTGGACTTTTCTCTTGCAATCAAGCAGTATGGAGAGAAAATATCCTATAATTAAAATAATGTTTTTAAAGGAATAACAACAGTTCACTTGAACTGTTCATTGTGAGCTGGGCCGGAGACACAAAAAGGGGATGTGATCATCATATGATGTCCAAAAACTATAAAAATGTCCTTTTATATACAGCAAAGTTCATGGAAAAGAGTCCAATTCATCTAGTCGTCCGCCTCTTTAACCTTTCTCTTTTTTTTCTTCTTCTTTTCTGTTGTCTGTAAAAGGAAAAATATGTGTTTTAGGTTTTATAAAATAAGATAAGATATGATCGTGTTTGGCATCATGGTCCTCACCTCTTCTGCTGGACTAACTGCCGCTTCTTCCTCCTCTTCCTTCGGCTCCACCTCAGCCGCTCGTTTCTTTTCCTTCTTTTTCTTTTTTGTCGTCTATAAAGCATAAATAGTAACATGTAGAAACTTCAAGATGTACTTATCACACATCATGTAAGTGCTTCAACGTAAAACCTGGTCCCTAGATAAGCTGAACTTAAAGAATGATTCCACATCAGCATATTAATGACCATCAACCAGAGATGAATTTATCTTTCCACCCCTCTCACCTCCTCTGCTGGGCTGACGGCCGTCTCCTCCTCTTCTGGCTTGGATTCCTCCTCCGCTTTCTTCTTCTCCTTTTTCTTCTTCTTCTTTGGTGGCTCTGTTTCTGCTTCTCCTGTAATGAATATTTAATGTTCATCTGCATTTAACATGTGGCTGCAACACCATTTAGGTCAGTGTTATGCTGCATGGATGGTTACCTTCTGTGGGGGCTTCCCTCTTTACTTTCTTAGCTTTAGCCTCCACCGGCTTCTCTTCCTCCTCACCCTCCTCTACCTCTTCGATCTTCCTCTTCCTTGAGACTGTGGGGAGTGTGGAGTCACCAGATGGGTCGTATACCTTTACATCACTGACAGGAAGTAAAAGATGAGATGTAAATCTAAGGCTGACACAATTCACGTTTGGCTAGTGATGTTACTGAAATAAAAGAATTAAAAAAACTGAAAGTTTTCCTGTATCAGATCTTACAGGCAAAAATTCAATAAATAGCAAAATTTATAATACGTTAATTTTTAAAAACATAAAACAAGTACTTCTGTAAAAAAAAAAAAAAGGGAAAAAAAAGCATAAATACGCTAGAGGTGATACGTTTCCATAAATGATATGAACTGCTTTCCAATTAACAATGGAACTGATCATGTAAACCAAAAGCTGAAATATATAAACTAAACTGAATTTTTACATTCAACACACCTGGTCACACAGGTGCATGATGTTGGCAATGTCCTCCTCGGACACCTCTGTTCCCATGGAGATTTCTGCAGCTAGTTTAACCTCTGCCTCAATCTCTTCTGGTAGAATCTCAGATAAATCCATTGATGCCACATTTGTGCGATCGCCTAGACATTTGAAACAAGAAAAATACAGTTCAACATATTATTTGAAATCTTCAGTTTAAATATTTATATTATTTGAATACTACCACAATTAAAAGTATTAACAAAAAACCCTACAATGTAATTTCTTATTATTATTATTTTGGTTCAGTCAAAAATAAACATTTGCTGAAAACTTCCTCGGGTCAATTTACCCAGTAATTTAGCTGGAAGCAATGCTCCGAATTAAAAAAAAATACATAAAAATCCTTGTCGTCACAAGACTTATAGACTGGAGTCATGTGGATTACAGTGATGTTTTTATCAGCTGTTTGGACTCATTCTGACGGCACCCATTCACTGCAGAGGATCCATTGCTGAGCAAGTGATGTAATGCTAAATTTCCCCAAATCTGTTTTAATGAAGAAAAACACATCTCCACCTTGGATGATCTGAGGGCGAGTAAACTTTGATTTTTGGTTGATCTAACATATTTCTAGGTTTGTTTTCTATTTAATCTGTGACTTTTAGACCTTGCTGTTTGAGAGGAAAATTAAAGTTTTTCTTTCTACCAAAATAGAAAAGCATTAAAAAGATCTGACCTAGACATCCTCATAAAATACTTCCAAGTGTGTACGAACCAATCTTGCGGACACTCTTGCAGTATGCCAGGTTATCTGTGATGATCTTGCCAAGCTCTGGGAAGTGCCAGCCGTACCATTCCCTGCAGCGCATGATGTAGTTATTGAGCTCCTTATCCAGATCATCCAGCAGACCTGCAGGTGGGCAGAAGAGTGAGAGAGGGTGAACAGCTGTTTAAGTCACTTGCTGTCTACATAAGGGCTTAAGTATGTACAAATAAATAAACATTCTTACAAATGGCTTGAACGATCATGGTGTCCACCTTGTCTGGGCTGAACTTGAGCTTGTACCGTGAAAGACTGAGAGGAAATACGAAAAGAAAACCAGTCAATTGATGTGTAAAACCATGTGTCGAGAGTAATGTGAATATCTGCTCAGTCTCAGTGGTAGTGACGAATGCTGATTAGTATCCTCAAAGAAATCGGTCAGCAAGAACTAATCATTGACGCGAGCAAAAAAACTAAATTTTTGATTTTTAACTGTAAACTAACCTGTGGGCCAAACCGAGAGACATGGCACTGATCTCTCTGGCAGGAAGACCCGTGATAAGCCCCTCCATCTGGTTTCTGATGCCTCTCATGAGCTCGGCCACAGCAGGGCTGTGCACACAGCTCAGGTTCAGCTTCTCCTGCAGGGGGCGAAAAAAAGAGTTTCAGCTAAAGGGACTTCCACTGAACAAACAGCAGAGAACTACAGTGATAGTCACACAAGCTTTGCATTACCAGCCCTGATGTTTAACCATAACTCTACCACAACCAAACGATACTTCCAGGAGTTAACACAAGCTCAGATGAGGTAGTGACAAAAAAGCCTCATGAATTTTCAGCAACATGACGCAAAGGTCATCATCATCACAGCTTGTAGTGTTTCATAGAGCAAATATCTTTAACAGGATTTCATATGGAATGCATATAGCAACCTGCACTGGTCTGTACTTATATTTTCCCCAACATTTAGAAAACCCACCATTTACCTTAATGACTCCTCCTAGTTTTACATCAGTAATGGCCAGCTGTTCATGAGCCTCTTTGGCCACAACTTTCTTGAGAACTTTTTTCAGACTTTTCCCCAATTTCCCCTCCACCATCGCGGTGGCCGCTGATATCGACAGGCAAAAGAAAAGAATTTTGAATGAGTGTGCTTTTTAATATTCATGTTGTCTTACATTTTAATCGCATATTTAGAAACACATGAATTAAGTGAAATCTGTGGTCTCAGCGGTAGTGACGAATTACTGTTTAGTGACCTCATGCATGAGTCAGATATACAGATACATCATAGACACACAGCTGAAGGACAATCAAATGGCTTTGCATCCATAAACGAAGCACTAAAGGTGCTGATGTTTCACTTCAGCATAGTTACCTGCAAGAGCTTCCGTTGTATCCTGAAACTTCTCAAAGTGCTTCAGTTTTACACTGAAAAAAAAAACATACATGGGATGTTACAGATAATGAGAATAAAAAGAAATGAAATATTCAGAGATGATGACACAGTGACGGATTACACAAGATTTTAAAAAAAATGTGTCGTTTTCCCACACATTTCAACCAGATTCCCAGTTGTTTTTGACTACCAAGTAAAGATTTCAAAAACATTTTAAACAGCATTTGTGTCCAAGAAAATATCTTAATAAAAAAAATAAAATAATTCACTACAGAAATTGACTTAATCACCTTTCTGGTCATGTAAAAGAGCATTTTAAGGTTCTCTGATATTTCCAAGTTTCCCATGAAAGGTGAAGATGTGTATTTCTACCATAAACAAAGTGGTTTATTATCATGGACATTACTTAGACGAAACACAGCACGAAAATTACATTCACAAAAGTACAACTCACACTTTGTTGGCTTTTTCTGGCGTTTCAAACTCCTTCCACAGGCTGTCCACCTGCTGGAGTTTCTGTTCATCCAAAAAAAAAAATGTGTCGTTTTCCCACACATTTCAACCAGATTCCCAGTTGTTTTTGACTACCAAGTAAAGATTTCAAAAACATTTTAAACAGCATTTGTGTCCAAGAAAATATCTTAATAAAAAAAAAATAATAATTCACTACAGAAATTGACTTAATCACCTTTCTGGTCATGTAAAAGAGCATTTTAAGGTTCTCTGATATTTCCAAGTTTCCCATGAAAGGTGAAGATGTGTATTTCTACCATAAACAAAGTGGTTTATTATCATGGACATTACTTAGACGAAACACAGCACGAAAATTACATTCACAAAAGTACAACTCACACTTTGTTGGCTTTTTCTGGCGTTTCAAACTCCTTCCACAGGCTGTCCACCTGCTGGAGTTTCTGTTCATCCAAGACCTGCACACAACAAAAAGCTGATGATTCAAATGTACTGCCACAATCCATCTATCTGTCATTTTTGAGATGCCTAAACTCAAACCATAGAGTGGTCGACATGAGCGACCATGTGGACCCTTGCACCGGTAATCACATGTAAAGAGCTTCTTTAATAGCTGCGTACTTATGTAAAACAGCATTTCTCGGCTCTACAAAATTTTGTGCAAGAACTAAATGACATTGTCCACGACTGATGAATTTAAAACTCGTCCTAACGCGAAGAACAGACAGTGAAGAGCTCTCATAAGCAGCCCCAAAGACACAACGTGGCTGTGCTGCGGCGCAGGCCACACGACACACGCTGGCCCAAAACTCACTGACCTCACTTCAACATTTATTTGAGTACATAGTTACAAAAACACTCCGCACGTATATACACGAAAATACTTTTAAAAAGTTTAACTCGCGACTTTCTGGAAATTATTGGTCTGATAGCACTGCTAACTATGCTGGCTAGCTAACGGTAATCCCAAAATCTGTGAATACTTCTGCAAAACATATCACTCTTAACGGCATAACAAATATGCATACCTTGAAAATGGCATAGCCAGCGGCAGTTTCAAATAACACTAACATTTTGATTATTTTTCTTGCTCTAACTAAAGTTCACTGCCGCGCTCCCCACATCGAAAGCCTTCCGCTACACCGAGTCGCTTTCCACGAGGTGCACATGGGGACAGTATGCGCATGCGCAGTACTACCAAAGAAATGTGCGCATGTGCAATATCGTCTGAACTAGAGGAATCTCAAGTTGTTTTCGTTGTAATTTACAAGACCGCATGTACAGACTTTTCACTTAAATAACCAACTCCTAACTGTTAATGTACAGCTTTCCCGCTCTGCGTGTTTATAATGTATATTAATTATTTTGGTTTAAAGTTGAATATCCACAGTCCAACAGTTTTCAAACACTGTTTGGGTACTATTTTAATCCTTAGTGAATCTTCCGTAACAATATCGTAAACGGAGATAACATCTCTTGGATTCCGGCACAGTACATGCCTCCCCCACGTTTTACCGAAGTATCCAATAATATCCTCATCGAAGGCGAATGGAACCAATCAGAAAGAACGTGGTGAGAAAAACAACACCGTTGGGTCAACGATCAGCGTCGTAGGAAGTCCCGCCCCTTTCCAATGACGGCAACGGCGCTGTGTTGTGAGTCTGCTGGTAGCAAAACCTCACATTACTGCACATTACAGTTCGTTATTTAAATCAAGCGTTCGTGATCTGAAGAAGGGCTGTACATTGCGGAATATCATGTCAGACACGGTGAGGTTAAACCTGTTTTATAGAATCGAACTTGTCTGTGAGAGGAAAGGAGAAAGACGGACTAGTAGAAAATGAAAATAAGAGGGCCCATCTTTTTTTAGCCTGTCTGGGTTTTCATGGCTAACTGACTGTGTGGATGGGAAAGTCATGCTGCTGTGTTTTAAACGCTATATTGTCGTTGATTCGGGAAATTTGTACACTAGTTCCGTTTACGGTGTATATAAACTTGAAAAATATGCGAATTCCTTTTTCAAATCTTTCACTTAGCCTAGGTGCTAGTTGGCAGCTCTGGGCGCTGAAAGCTAAGTTCATATTGGCTTGAGCTGATGGACCATGCTGCACATTTGAGTCACTATTTCTGCATTCATTTTAGATCAGTTAACTAGGTAAAGTTGTTACATTTGGTCATGTTGGTCTATGTTTGGTCTTGTGGTCGCATTATCATGATTCTTTACCGTGGTAGGGCTGGTTGTATGTTTACAGTCAAAGAACCCAAACTCAGCTCATTACAGTTTCTTCCACTATAGACTGAAGATGTCAGTACAATACTGAGCAAACAAACTGCATCAGGCTGAACAAATTCAAATCAGATCTATTTTATAATGTAATATAGCCAAGAAATGTTTTACTGAATCCACTTACAGAATACAGTGGGGAAAATATTTATTTGAAGTCTCTGCTGATTTTGTAAGTTTGCCCACTTACAAAGAAATGAAGGGTCTGTAATTTTTTATGGTAGGTTTATTTTAATGTATAGAGACAGAATGCCAACCAAAAAATCCTGAAAAACTCCCACAAAGGTTAGAATTTGATTCGCATTTCAGTGAGTGAAATAAGTATTTGATCCCTAAGCAAAACATGACTTAGTACTTGGTGCAGAAAGCCTTGTTGGCAAGCTCAGAGGTAAGCTGTTTCTTGTAGTTGGTCACCAGGTTTGCACACATCTCAGGAGGGATTTTGATATTTTACTTTATAGATCCGCTCTAAATCCTAAAGCTTTCGTTTGGCAACTTGAAGTTTCAGCTCCCTCCACAGATTTTCTATAGGATTGAGGTCTGGAGACTGGCTAGGCCACTCCATGACCTTAACTCTTTCCCCGCCAGCATTTTTGAAAAAAGTTGCCAGCCACCGCCAGCGATTTTCATGATTATCACTCAAATTTGATGGCCTCCAGTAGGGCTGCATGATAAAATCACATGCGATATTTAATGCGCATCTTGTCAGTAAAGTCGGTTCTTTAATCAGCGGTAAATCTCCATCACTTGCGGGCTTTCACATGGAGCAGCATTAACTACACAGAGCCGTTGTTCACTGACAAGCTGCGCAAAACCACGATTATATTTTGTGCTTGTTTTGCGCAGCTTGTCGGTGAATATATTTTGCTGTATGAATATGCAATACACCAAAATAAAGATCAGAGCCTCTACTTTTAAACAAAAAATTGTTTTATTCCGTTTTATTCTAGCTTGAAGCATTCTTTTTTTTTTTTATCAACACTTCAATATAGGTAGGTTTCATAAAAAATGCATAATTTTGAGCAAATTTTTATCAAAAACTACATCTGGATAATATTCAGTACGATTATCAAATCATAAATCCAGTAAATCACTTCCATCAATACCTCCAAAACTTGCACAGACATATACCACTTCCTGGATCAACATTTTACTTTATATGCTGTCTATTGCTGATGATCGCATTATTTTTCATATGCATCTGTTTACATAAGAGATGGCTCGTTTCTCCGTCCTGTTCACGTGTGATTTGTTTCGGGAGGTTTTGTACTCGTTCAGAAGATGTGTAATAGCGCCCCTGAGTGTATAACACTGAAAACACGAAAAGCCCTAAAAACTCGTCTTTGGCGGGGAAGCGTTTTCTTCTAAAAGACGAGATAACTCGTCAATGGCGGGGAAAGAGTTAATGTGCTTCTTCTTGAGCCACTCCTTTGTTGTCTTGGCGGTAGTGCTGTGCAAAAAATCGAATGCGATGAGGTAGCAGTCAGTCGCTGCGGTGTTCACTTTGCACGATGAATCGGCGACAGGAGGTTACACACTGCATGACTTCACAATAGGAAGAATCGCCGACAACTCTGTCTGGTCCGCAAACTACGTTTCACAACAATACACACGTGAGAAGTGATAAGGAAATAATGCGAGAACCCGCGTGCGTCAGACCGGAGTTCTCGAGCGAGACTGGAATTATAAAATATATATATATAGCCTGCAAACTGTCTGTGAGCTGATTTCCAGCTACAAGGAGAAAAAGAAAAACAGATTATGCAGGAGGGAGATGCAGGGAACAGGGATTGGGTGTTCGGCAAAGAGAGGTAAATAATTTTGCAGTTATGCTGATGTTGTGGCTGGTCAAGCAAATGTTTGTGCTTGTTTCTGTATGATATAATTGTTAATATATCTATTAAAATACTGATATTCTGGTCTATAACTCCTCCCCGTACTTCCCTCTGCCCTGTATCTTGGTCTCTCATTGGCTGTAGGTAATCGCCGATGTAGTTTTCAGTCAGAAATCATTGCACACAGCGTGATTGTGAATCGCCAACAGCTCCAGATATTTAGCATGCCAAATATTTTGCGGGCGTCGGCGATTCCCTCAGATCGCGTCTTTGATAATTCACACTGCGTGATTGTCACTCGCGTGAACGAGCACCGATTTGCCTCCGATTTCGGGCATTTGTCAGTGATTTCGCAAAACCTGTAGGCAAGTGAAAAATTGGGCTAAAATCGTGCATTAGACATCAAATTTCAACATTAAGGAAGGCCCACTGTGGCCTAGGGCACCTCCTGTCACCTGCCATTTCAGGCCAAATTTGCATTTATTAATCTTGATCATCCATTTTTATACTTTCAATGCATAAATTTTTTTAAACAAAAATAAACAAATTGAGCATTCTTTTGTGAACTTCTAGTACAGTGGTGAAAAAAACCATTAGCGATTAGTACTGATTTTGCTGGTTTATTTGATGCAAGATGCAAGGTGCTCAGTCATACTTCTGGAGTTCTACATTTTTGCAGAATTTAGATCCAACCTCAGCCCAACACAGCTGGACCACTTAATCAGGATTTTGAGGTTCATAAAAAAATTATGGGTGTGTCAGAGCAGGTGGGGTCTAAATTCTGCAGAAAGGTACTATAGATCTCCAGAAGCATTGAGAATTTAAGATCCTGATAACAAAATATGGATGTATATAATGTTCAGTGATTTGATTGTTTAGTATGTGGCAAAAGACAGAAGTTGCTCGGATTTTAAAACTGTTGTGTTTTATTGTTACTGAAGTCAAACCTCTATCAGAGAGGTACAGGCAATTACAACAAACGCTTTCATGCATGAAATCCTAGCTGGCTCTTATTGATACATTTCCGAACACCTCCAAAGACTGCGAGAACCCGCGTGCGTCAGACCGGAGTTCTCGAGCGAGACTGGAATTATAAAATATATATATATAGCCTGCAAACTGTCTGTGAGCTGATTTCCAGCTACAAGGAGAAAAAGAAAAACAGATTATGCAGGAGGGAGATGCAGGGAACAGGGATTGGGTGTTCGGCAAAGAGAGGTAAATAATTTTGCAGTTATGCTGATGTTGTGGCTGGTCAAGCAAATGTTTGTGCTTGTTTCTGTATGATATAATTGTTAATATATCTATTAAAATACTGATATTCTGGTCTATAACTCCTCCCCGTACTTCCCTCTGCCCTGTATCTTGGTCTCTCATTGGCTGTAGGTCATCGCCGATGTAGTTTTCAGTCAGAAATCATTGCACACAGCGTGATTGTGAATCGCAGACAGCTCCAGATATTTAGCATGCCAAATATTTTGCGGGCGTCGGCGATTCCCTCAGATCGCGTCTTTGATAATTCACACTGCGTGATTGTCACT